GTACACCACTTTACAACTTGTTCATTAGAGACAATGGCTATAGGCAGTTAGTTTTCTGTAGTAACACTGACAGTAATACTTGTATTGACCATATATACACTAACTTACCAGAGGCACAAGCACACTTTCAAATATTAGAAACCTATTTTTCAGACCACAAAGCAATTTGGGCTTTAAGAAACTGCTTTGAAGCAAATAACATAATTGCATAATTGAATAAGCATATCCAGTATTGCATCAATAAAGCTTGTCAAAGCACTATTAAGGAAAAATTAGAATAATTATTGTATTTACAATTTATTTCAGAGTTGTTCACAACATGGCCAATTCAGCCTCACTAGGGTAAGTATGTATAGAGGATAAATTATGTGTTTTCATGTATACTTAACTAAAATCTATCTCTCTCTCTCTTTTTTCAATAGGAAATCTCCAAGTAAAAACGTTGCAGAAGGTGAATATATTTTTATGCCAACTTAAGTTAAAATGCCTTCACAGGCAATGTGATAAAAAATTTTTATAAGATAAGTTTTCATTCATATGTGTAAGAAATCCTTGAAATCCTTTGTGTAGTTTCGTTGTTTATAACTATTACTAAATAATCCTTTTGATAATGGATGAAGGAAGTCACTCCATGCCATAACATTTCAGAATGGAGTTTTAAAACCTGACACAGGAACAGTGTGTTTTAATTTACTGAAACTTTAACTTTCCAAGCTCTTTAGCTTTAAATAACAAAATACCTGACCTACATGTACATTTACAACATTATCTATATATGATTATATACTAGTCCACAAGTTCAATGCTGTTTGTATTTATTGTGTAGTTGAGTATTAGCTGTTATTTGCAATTATTTTCAGATATAGAATTCAAAGGCTATGTACATGGTCTCTCTCCAGTAAAGACAGGAAAAAAATCAAGAGTACCCTTCTTTAACTGCACAATCCAAACAGGACAAGCTGACAAGATCCGAGCAGCATGTTACGATCCAAAACAGCAAACCAGTCTACAGCAAGCACAACAACAGAAATCCCCCATCAAAATTTCAGGTTTAAAAAGACTACCTAGCTCACGTTTTTCTAATAATAACTGCAAAGAATTTAAAATAACAAAAATGGCAAAGGTAGCACCTACAGATACTGATTTCACCTAAAACCTAGATGTTTCCTTTTCTTTAATTACAATAAAAGCCTTTTCAACTGAACCCTTCAAAACTGTGGATGTACGTGCTAAAGTTATGTTCAAAAATGAAGAAAGTAAACCTGTCATATTCAATGGTCAAAGATTGATGAAAGTTGATTGCATCGGCTGTGAATATATGAAAGTCATATATTTAAACTGCGGATATAAAGACATGAATATGAAAGCGATCTTCGCAGTAATGAACACTACTTAAGCAGTAGTGAAAAGAGTGGTGTAAGAGTAGTGTTCATTACTGCGAAGATCGCTTTCATATTCACGTCTTTATCCGCAGTTCAAACATATGACCTTCATATATTCACAGCCGTTTATTCACCACTTCACGAGTTTATTTGGAACCAACATAGTGACCAGCTCCCAGTTGGCTGGTTAGCTCATTTGGTAGAGCACTAAACCGGTATCGCAGAGGTCATGGGTTCAAGTCCCATACAGGCCTGAATTTTTTTCAGGCCTTCTTTTCACTACTGCTTAAGTAGTGTTCATTACTACGAAGATCGCTTTCATATTCACGTTGATTGCATTGTTGCTGATCCCACTGAAAGCATCAAGCTTGCACTATGGGAAGATATGATTCAGAAAGTTGATTAAGGAAAGTCATATCTCTTTAAACGTGTCGCAGTAAAAATTTTTGATGATACCATCATTTTGATGATTAGTCTTCCACTGTTGAGCTTCAAGACGAAATTGATGACATTAATCTAACATCAAAAGAGATCAAAGATAATATTGTAGAAGGACAGTGTCTAGGAGAACATGTTAAACAGGCAACATCCTGTATTGTCTGTAATAATACAGTTCAAGTAGTAGCTGACAAAGATATAGTTACATGTGAACGCTGTAAAACTTCTATGTTAAAATCAGCATGTAATAACAAACTAGTATGTCATTTGATAATGAAAACAACAACTGGTAAACTTGAAGCATTCACATGCCTCAATGATGGCTTGCAAAGTTTCTTAGTGTCAATCAACAATGATACTAACATAAATAATATTTCTCATGAAGAACTTGAAAAACTTCTCCTATATGCAGGAAAGAGACAAATGATCGTTGATCAGTCAGTGAATGTTATTCAGCAATTCCTTCTGTAACTACATATGTTACCTATGTTGAAATATGTTGTGTTAATTCTGTTAAAATGAGCATTTTATGGTGTGGTTCCATTAACTTGAGAAACCCAAATCAATCAATGCATGTTATTCAGCAATTCATGCTGTAACTAAAGGATCATTGTTCAGTTCATGTTATTCACCAGTTCCTGTTGTACCTATGTTACCTATGTTAAAGTATGTCATAGGCTTTGTTGAAATAAAATTATGTTATGTCACTGTGTATTAGCTCTGTTAAAATCGGCATGTTACAGTGTGGTTTTCATTAACCCAAGGAATACACTAAATGATTACACTTTTCACAGTACACTGTTTTTCTATTATACTGTTTTGTCGTAATTTGATTGTTACAGATTAGCTAATAGACTGTGTTTCATGAGTTAATGAAAACCAATCAAACTGGTATGTAATTTAACAATCAAAACCACAAGTAGAGAACTTGAAACATTCGTATCCTAGCCTGCATAGCAGGCGGTAGAAAGGGAAAGGGAAGGGAGGAAAAGGTCGCGCGCGTGAAGCGAGGGGAGCGAGAGGGAAAAGGAAAGGAAGCTTTACCCTCCCTCCCATCACGCTTCGTGTCTTTGCGTGCACCCATTTACTTACCTCTCCCTTTCTAGCACCTGCCATGCAGGCTATCTGCATCCTAACGGACATTGAGCTGAACACTCGTAGATAATTTTCATTCCACTATGTGCCCATGAATTAATCTGATTAATCTGTACTTTTTTTCCTAGTACTGTGACAAAAGTTAAGTCCAGTAGAACAGTTTATGATAAACTGTCGCTCTTCATGTAGTCATTTGAATTTAAGTATGATATTTTGCTACATTAGTCTTAGTAATAACAGCAGTCCCAGACTGCCTTTTTTTTTTCACTTAACAGACCAAAGACGTGTAATAAAAAAGAAGCTGAACTTATGAGTTAAAGGGAAGTTTCAATTTAACTCGAATCACTTCCATAAGAAAAATTAGACATTTTGTCAAATTCGTATTTACAGATTTACCTTGCCCTGCGTGCGGAGAAATTAACTCCTAACTTTCCATGGTTTAATTAGAGGTTATGTCCTCTCGAATAAGTAAGAAATAAAACAATTGAAGAAAGATTGTGACTTTCCAACTTTTAGATGAAAGATAAAATAAGAAGATACCAAGGGAATGTCATCAATATTTCAAAGGTATTTTCATTTAGACTCCTGGACGCCCCTGGATAATTTAAAAGCACTTACGAAATAAATATGAGGAGAGGTCAGATTCCGAGGCGCCTTAAACAGCTAAAGCGCATAGAAGATTTGGCGGAACCAGAGTTTTGAATAAATGATTAATTTGGGATTCATTGCAACTTTCTATATATATATATATATATATACAGATAGAGAATATTTTAAATAGGCGAACAGTAAACTTATCTGACATTCAACTTACGCAGTCGGAAACAAACCTTCTACGTAAGAGACTTAACTTTTGCCCAACACCACCGCCACCAGGAAAATATGACATCAGTAAGGACATTGACGCCTTTGCCCGCAGACTAACCCTTAAAGAATATCACACTCCTGAGAATATAGAAGACGTAATAGACGGCCCTGGATACCAACCATCGATTCTTCAAAAATTGAACCAGAAGGAGCGCAAGGTGTATACTAGACCTCAAGGGAACCATACCTTAATACATATATTGACAAATTAAGGCAAGAAATCAGTGATGAGACTTTGCACAATCTACGATCTCCACGTAATAATCTAACCAAACGTGAGGGAGCAGCTTTGCATAGACTAAGCAATAACACGGACATAATCATTAAGCCCGCAGATAAAGGCGGAGCTACGGTCATCATGAATACAAAGGACTATGTAAAAGAGGCTAAACGCCAACTAGACAATGAAGTATATTACAAGAGAGTAGGAAGAGATCTCACTCTTGAACACGAACAGCTCATAAACCAGTGCTTAGACACACTTATGGACGACGGGGAATTAGAAGAAGAAGTAGCTAAACTCTTAAGACCAACACAATAAAGAACTCCTATATTCTATATGCTCTCCAAAATACAGAGAGTTAACAATCCAGGGAGACTAGTAGTATCCTCCGTAAACAGCCACACGGAGAAGCTATCAGCTTATGTGGACGAGTTTTTGAGACCTATAGAAGAAAAGCTACCGTCATACATACAAGATACCACACACTTCAATAAGCGAATACGGGCCTTGGGCAAGTTACCCGAAAAGTGTTACTTAGCAACACTGGACGTATCAAGCCTATATACGAATATAGGCACAGACGAAGGACTCACTATTGTGGAGGAAGAGCTGGGAAAAACGAATCAGAATAAGCCATCACCGAAAACATTATCGTGTCTCCTCGAGAAGGTTCTCAAACTTAACAATTTTACCTTTGCAAATGAACACTACATTTAAATCAAAGGAACAGCCATGGGAACCAGAGTCGCACCCAACTTTGCAAACGTATACATGGGAAGACTTGAAGAAAGAATCGTGTATCAAACAGAGTGGGTAAACCATATTATACTCTGGGTACGCTTTATAGATGATATATTTCTTATCTGGAAAAGTGATCAAGACTCTTTGATTAATTTCATAAATTACCTTAACAGTGTAGCATCCTCAATCAAGTTTACACACGAAATCTCTGCACATTCAGTGAATTTCCTTTATACGAACGCTCTATAGGATAATCAAGGCAACGTTAGTACAGATGTTTATCAGAAACCAACTGATACTCATCCATACCTCCACTGGACATCAGCACATCCACCTCATCTGAAACGGAGCATCCCATACAGTCAAGCCTTGAGGTTGAGGCGAATATGCTCTTCAACAGACACATTGAAGAAACGAGTCCTGGAATATTCGGATTTCTTTGTAACGTGTGGTTATGTACAACGCAAAGTTATCCACGAAATGCAGAAAGTGCTAACATTGACTCAAGAGAAATGTTTACAGACCAAAGAACGTGAACCAACAGACCGAATTCCTCTGGTTACTACATTCAACCCCCATACCACCTTTATTAAAGAAATTGCTAAACGAAATTGGAACTTTCTCCAATCAAAAGAAAGATTATCACTCATTTTCAACAAGCCACCTTTAGTCGCCTACCGTCGACCGAAAAGTCTACGAGACAGACTTGTGCGTTCAAGATTTGTAAATGGATGTAGAGCATGTGAAAGAACGAAGTGTAGTTGGTGTAAAATGATCAACCAGACCACAACTTTCACCAGTCCCAATAACAACAAGACCTTTACCATATTTCATACAATGGACTGCCAATCGTCATGGATCATTTACATAATCGAGTGCAACATTTGCAAACTTCAATACATTGGCAAAAGCGAAACGGCATTTAACCTACGGTTAAACAATCATAGAAACCATATTAAAAAGGGAGTGAGTAGCTGCGAACTCACTGAACACTTTTTACATAACAAACGAACTCACGACTTTGACAATAATGTTACCATAACCATTATAGAGCAAATCAGAAAAAATCATTTAGAGACTGACAAAAAGAAAGAAGTCCTTAGAGAAAGAGAGATTTTCTGGCAAAGAACATTAAACTCCATTCAGCCATATAGACTAAACAAAAGAACTGGATAAAGCTTTTATGCGAAAGCCTTTATAAAGTTTTGGGTACATAAATTATTTGAAACATATGTTATAAAGGTTTTAAAACTCTTAACCAATTAGAAACACTAATTGTTTCCGAGAGATTTTACTCAGGATTTAATTAAGCAACACGCATTGTACTACGTCACACAATTAACCAATTACGACTCTGTAACAATTGCATGTTAAGGCCCCTGAGGAAGGCAAATGCCGAAACGCGTCGGGTCTTGAATAAAGCGTTGAAAACGGAAGCCCATTCTCCATTGTGCAAATTATATATATATATATACATATATATATATGTGTGTGTGTGTGTGCATCCGTTCAAGCATATACACTTCTTAAGTGCTCTAACCGCTTCCTGCGTGCTTTAAACAGAACAGAGCACAGTCAAGGCTTTCCCGCGCATTACTTTCAAAATAAATTTTAATTCCAAAGTGAACATCAGTGTCGTTAGCATGCTCTATACTCTCATAAAGTACGCTACAATAAGGCAATCAGAATCGTTGTTATAATATCAATTAATCTGATTGCCCGTACAAGACTAAATCTGTCAAAAATGTTAAACCATCAAAGTTCGGTGTTAACGTTAGAAACGACCCCGTTAAAGTTGATTAGGATATATTTATCGGTAAAGAGTGCTCTACCTACGCATCAATTTGCTAGCTCAAACGCGTTAAGCAAGTATTATTTACCCTTCCAAGCAGTCGGAGACACAAAATCCCGCGTCAAGGGATGAATTTTTGACCAATTTCTGAATATCATTGTTGTTGTTTTTTATTTTGTTTTGGTTGTTTTGTTTTTGGTTCTTGTGTGAATTGTATCACCTCAAATGGCTCAGAACAACTCTATTTGACTCCCTTATCTATATTTCTTCAGGTAAAAAATGAGCGCACTTTGCGATCAAAAGCCTAAAGGATTTACATTGATCGATGAGTGCTATGACTGCTATTTTTCATATAGACTTACTAGACACATGATCGTTAAGAATATTGGGACGTAGTGGCGTAAACCTTCTGCAAGGGAGACAAGCAATCATGGCGTAGTTTAAGTTTTTTCTCGTTTTTTTTTTCTTTTTTTTTTCCTGGTACCTGTTGTCTGTTGTGCGTACCTCTATCAATCGATATAAGATCATTACTCTTTTTAGCGTCAAAGGGAATATTAACTCTAATAATTTATTGTTATCGTATAAATGTAACTGCCAACTGTTTTCATCTTTCGTTTAGCTCTTGCACATCGGCGTTGTTTTTGTAAGTGAATAGGCGTGATTCATTAGCAGCCATTCGTTCTTACTGAAGTGAATAAGATAAAAGTTTTGTTCGACTTTTTGATGCCATTAGCTGCTTTATCCTATAACGTTGTAGTTTTAAGAAAATGAACGACACTTTTTAAAAACGTGTTTCGACAGTTCTTCTGTCATCTTTAGTTCTGAATGATACAAATTACAACGTTGAATCCAAAGTGTGTAACAGACTGTTGATTGGACAAGACAAACAATAGTAACAGAATAATGTATGCATTTACAAGGAAAGTTTGAAATTAACATGATAAAGTTGATGATTAAGTATAGGTTTCTCCCACTGAATGTGGATAGCTTCTTTGATTTTAAGTTGAAAAGTCGTGGAAGTGTGATCTACATGATTCTCTCTAATAATCAGAACTGAAGATGACAGAAGAACTGTCGAAACATGTTTTTAAAAAGTGTCGTTCATTTTTAAAATTCGTTACATATCTGCTTCTATCAAGACCTTTTGATAATTGTGTTTATTGAATGCACTCTACTGAGAAATAAGTATTATGGATTTAATCAAAAATGTGAATTCAAAATGCAATAAATTGTTAGATGGTTCTAATGTTTGGTGCAAACTCGTACAAATGTACAATGTCAAGGGAAGGAATTAAATGATTAGAATTTTTTTCTTTATTTTACGCGTTTCAGGTTTTTTTTTTATTATTATTTACTTTTTATTTTTTGTTTTTTTTTTTTGCTCTCTCTCTCTTTTTTCTCCAAGCTGGCTCAAGTTCAAAACTGACACCATCAAACATGAGTTATATAGTAACTTAAACTAGCAACAGATGAGTTCACATTATTTAGATATCTTATACAAAGTTAAATTGAACCAGATGCCCAGTCCCCATCAGTGCTCGGAAGAACTGTAAGCTTAAAAATGTTTATTTATATATGTACTTTTATGTGAACAGATAAGAACTGAAAAAAAATAAAAAATAAAAACAGCTATTTGCAGGATTTTTTTTGCACTGGTGTGGAACAACGAAGGAGTTTGTCTCTTGTTGGAATTGGAGTTCCGCCCAGTTTTCATGTGGCTGTCAAATGCTCTGAAAAATGGCTGCAAAAATTAAAGAATGCGGCAATCTCTCTGTAGGTATATGTTAATTAGCTCTTGCTGGAATAACTGAGCATCATCTCTAGATTCAACCTGTCATTTCTTCAATTCTTTTCTTTGATTCATCAATTTCAGAGGACATGTACTAACATGAAAGAAAATAAACTCACTGGCAGATTTGGAGTGAAGTAGAAGCAGGGAATACCTATGTTCAAAGCCTGTGCCATGTATTTAGTCAATACCGAAAGAAAATGCTTACTTTTGTCTAAGGCTATCTTAGATCGACTAGGTTACGTTTAGTTTCCTCTGCAATGTTTCCTTAATCAGATAGTTATCAGTTGTTGTCTTAATGTTGATTATTGCAGTAACAATTCCAGGGCGAACTGTTTCAAAATCGGTCTAAAGCTTAGCAATGTTTTAGTTTTAGCTCGCTAAAGCGACTTTAGAATCAATAAAGGTAATAAGAAACTTTCATATGATCTCATCTTCCTAACACCATTTGGCCCATTTCTTGATCAAAATCGATCTTAATATAATTTAGAGCCTTCGTATAGTCTTCTCAATTTGCGCGCGAGTTGGTTGGTGTGATGTCTGTACAGATTTTACCAACGTAATAAAATTAGATTTAGATGCAAATGAGATGTCACTGTCAAATATTTGATACGCGCAACATTTGAGAAATAATTGAAAGCTTTGCACGTGGTCCGTATTATCATCTTTTTAAGCGGTATGTGTTTATTTTGTTGAAAAAAATGCAGATCGAGACCAAAACTGTTCCTTCGACTTTATATATTTTTGACGTTAGTAAATCACATCATATTAACTTACCTCCGTAAATCATTTGTCCCAGATAACAAAATCAAATAAGCATGCTAACGATGGTATCTGAATTCGTCCTTGGCCAAACACAAACGACTCCACAAGATCACTTTCTCCAGGCATCGAAAACACACACAAAATCGCCCATAGTTAATTTTAATCAGACATTCATCTAGAGATAGCACCGAGCAAACCAATCCAGGAAAATATAATCGGCACACTCTACAATACATGAATCTTGCAACACAGCTTACCGTTAAAGAACTGCTCAAATCAAAATGTTTGGTGCAATTCATCAACACCTCAAGCAATATTTGATAAATTTTTCCACTCACTCTCGTCATGAAGGAACAATAACCATGATCGTGCTACAGTGCACAGGACTCCATTTTCTCTCGAACAACTATCCACCATTTTCACAGCATGAGTAACACGTTTACTATAGGTAATCTGATATCTTTCATCTGTCTAGTTGTATCGCATTTCTCATAAAGGGCGACAAAATAACAAACTTCCATTCTGTATATTTATATTCTGTAAGAGTTTATGCCGTTAACTTATGGCGTAATTTGGCTCAGTTGGTGATATATACTGTAATATTTTACACTGTTAACTAACGGCGTAATTTCTTCCGGTCTGTATATCTATATACTGTGAGAGTTTGCGCTGTTAAGTAACGGCGTAATTTGGCTATGTCGATGGAACACATACTGTAAGATTTTTAGCCATTAAATAACGGCGTAATTCGACTCAGTCGATAAATATACATACTGTAAGATTTTACGCCGTCAACGGCATAATTTCTTTCAGTCGGTATATGTACATACTGAAAGATTTCATGCCGTTTACTTCGGCACATTTCAGCAATTTAGTTTGAATGGTTTTCTAAACAACCGTTATTTGATGAATTTCAAGAAAAGGTTTCTGCGCATTGAATCATAAAGGCCGTTGAAAAGAATGATTTGCCTTCAAATACCTTGATAACTCAGCGTATTTTTCTCGGATGGAAATGCCAATAATTCTCGTCATGAATATAACGAGGCTCAGTTTATAAAAGTACAAAGAGGACCATACTAAAAACGTGTAGAAAGATTCCGACTTCTACGAATCCTGATGATAACCGTGGAAGTTCAAATTTTAACACTTCACTTCATAGGGCCGGAACCTATGCAAGCGTTTTTCCTTTTTAACTCGTGGATTGCGCGCATGCGCAAGAACGAGTTGTAGATATGATGTGAGAATGGCACTCGCTCGCTCGCTCGATTGGTCGATTCCTATAAACTTTTTTTCGATTTTAGGCTTTTGAGTGCATTTGATAGTTTTTGGCGAGTAATAAACAAGCGAAATGGCAACCTTTGTTGCTAAGAATAGTGGTGCGGTGAAAAGAAGGCAGTGATAATCTTAAAATAATTTTTTTTTCCTTTTAGTTTCAACAAGCGGCGCCAGCGACTGGCAGGCGTGCGAGGATTCACACTGAATTAAGAGAACAACCTTCGTTTTTCATAAAATTTTAATTTACAATTCTTGAACTTGAAAACAATCCGAAGATTCATGAAAAATATCACTTTCTCCGAAGCGCTCCCGAGTTTAGAGGTGTTCAAAAGCTTTTCCTGTTATGGCGTGAGATTGGGGAAAAAAGTTGCCGGCGACAAACGAAATTACAGGTTAACACGAAAGTCAAATAACACAAACAAATAATTTTGGCTACCGATTTTCAGTGAATTTTTAAAGAACAATTTTCTTTTAGGTTTCAAGACAATTTCAAGATTCAAAATAAATATTACGTACTAAAATGCGAAAATTGTTTACCACAAAATTGATAAATAG